TACTTAATAACCATAGGGAGAGCACTAGATCGTCACATCCCATGAATTCAACTATTGCAAGACAATGAGGAACATAAGAAACTGTACAGGAAGAATACTGCTATGTGAACATATGATCATGACTATTGCAAAAAAAAAAAAAAAAGAAAACAATCAGTATTTGGACATCTTTTAGAAAAAAAGCCTCTTTAGTGAATTAATAAGATCTTAAAGATCCTAATTTGGAATATATTTGGTCTTCTGTTCCACTTATGTAATTTCACAGTGCAACTGTGACTTATCCCTAATGTTACTGCAATGTAGATATATTAAGCAGAATGTACGGGTAGCATGATTCTCTCTAGTACATGGAGGCTCATATAAGTTTATTATAATTAGATAAATAAATTATGCAAATAATAAATTGTGAAAAAGGGAAGCACAGATCTTAGATACTGAGAACAGCTGGCATTAATATTTCAAGTGATTTACAATGAACTTGTATCCATTTCTTTGAAAGAAAAGAAATGACAAAAGAATACATATGGTGTTCAAATATATATTTATCAACAAAATGCAAGTATATTGTGAATTAAGTTTTGGGATACAAAAATGCTTAACATTAAAATACCAGATTTCTTAATTTAAGGACTTTCTATTAAGTACTTGAAAATCAAAAAGCACTACTATTTAAACTACCAATAAACCTACAACCATAAATAGCAAGAAGGAAGGTTTGCACATCATTTTTCCCACTGTTACATGACTGCTTGGAAAACTTTCCTTTTAAAGATCCAAGGTGTTATCATGCAAGCAAGAAATCCTAGTATGTTTCCTAGATATGCTGGCCATCTGGCAAAATAGCACTCATAATATACAACAAATTTGCAGACATAAACTGTTGCCATAGTAACCATTTAGTCAAACGGAAACATCAAAATCTCATTTTCTTTTGAATCCTCTAAGAGATAAAATATTCTATTGAGACAGAGAACAAGGCCTATTATGAGGATTTTTGATAAGTCTTATTGTCTATTAAGTCACTACATCTATCATTGGCTACAATGAATTTCTTCCCTGGTAAAAAAAGAGACCATCCTGAGTACTTTCTATAGATACAAGATCTCAGATAGATCGAATTAAGAAAAATGATATACTTATTTAGCATTTTACCAACTGTGTATAGTTTTCACTTATGTGAAGCAAGATAGAATACACATACATTTTTAATTTAACAAAGTATATTCCTATTCTCTATAGTATATTATGTATGTATGTATGTATGAATGTATGTATACTCTATATACTTTTGTATATCGGATGCTATAATTCCAAGGTGATATACATAGAAAATTGTACTTTATTAAATGTACATATTTACCTGTGATATAATCTTTCACATCATGTATTCTGCTGGCTGGATTGTTATTTCTAAACATGTACAGGTTAAAAGGAGCTGGATCTTTTCCTATTTTTTTCCAAATTTCAATATCAGGTGTAGTCCAACGGCCTGCCAATATGTCATAATCTCTTTGACCAAAATGAATTAGTTTGGTTAGTGGGTCATAAAGACCTCCATGGAATCCTATCACCAACTGGAAATCAAGGTTAGAATCAAAATAGATTTCGCCATAGGCAGTGTATTGAATCTGCTTCAGCATTAGACCATTACTACTGAAAACAGCCAGGGGGGTTCCAGTATTGTCTGAGGCGATGTAGAACTCATCTCCGCTGCTAATCTCCATGGCAAATAAATGTCCTTGCAAGTCATAATAGAGAGAAGTGATTTCAGAGCTTGAGTGATTATACACATGAGTTATTCTTGTTGGATATGTGAGATCTGCATAAAAAAATTGAAGATGCTGCCCCAGGCTAGTTTTACTGGAAACACGTCTTCCAAGTCCATCATAACGATATATCACTGTCCATCCACTGCCTTTGCTATAAACTCTGGTAAGGAGGCCCTTTGAACTGTATTCAAATATCTCAGTGCCCCTCTGTCGCAGGAATCCATCTTCATCTAACCGGTATTGAACATCACCAAGTCGAGTGATTCTGTCCCTTAGATCGTATCGCAGTGGTGTCAATCGAGCACTACTACTTGGATTCAACAAGTGGAGATTGCCATTCAAATCGTAGTTGTAGCGCCACATTATTTTCTCATTAAGGTAAACTGTCTGTAGCTGGCCATCAACATCATATTCATAACCATACTTGGTAGTGTTAGCAAATGGGCCTATTTTAATTTCTCTTTTAGTTACTCGGCCCATGTTGTCATACTGAATTGTAATCCAGTACATAAGTGAACGGAATATTTCATACTGAATTTCCTTTATGCGACCATGAGCATCAAAGTGTTTTGTGTAAGTCATTACAGCTGTTGAAATTATCTGATTAATATCATAATAAATAACCCCAAATTTTCCAAACTGCTCAACTTTTCCAGATATGTCATCAAATTGGTAGAGATCAATAGGCAATGGAGTTTCATTGATAACACCTTGCATGCTAGTCACTCTGAAGCTATTGTCATAGCTGTAGTCAAATCGGGCATTTACCATTCCATCTTCACTAAAGCGGAAAATTTGCCTGTCAATCAATGGACCAATTTGCCTGTATCTAATGGTGCAAATAAAGCCATCACTCTGGAGGTTTACTGTTTTTAGAACTCCTGCTGTCTCATCATAAGTAAAACTCACTCTTGTGCTATCATACAGAATTTCAGAAAGCCTGGTCTGCCTTCTGTATTTGAACAAGACTCTCCGGCTTGTGCCCAAGAAAGCAGTTTGTAACAGCTGTCCTTCTTCATTGTAATCCATGATGACAGAGGCATTGCTTTCTGGAGGATTATAGATGTTCCGATAGTAGCCAATAGAACGGATAGTCTGCATAGTGTGGCGAGCTACACTGGGCATGGTTATTGCAGAAAGCCGATCCAGTAAGTCATATTCAAAGATATACTGCCGTTGGCTATGCAGTAAGAGAACCATTGACTGAAAAAGAAAACAGAGTTTAATCAGGTGCTAAAACTATTGGTAAACTAGCAACACTGGTTTTTTTTTTTACATCATTATTCAAACTGAGTAATTCTTGACCTTACATATTGGTAATTGCCTAATTCATTTGGATACTTAATTGTAAGAGGATCTATAATGAGTTGCTCCAGATTCCTAATGTGTTCTTGTTGTGACTGAGTCATCCTTTTATCAAGTACTCAATGCCAAACAGCAGATTGTCAATGGACTGGGATAAGTCATGTTTAATACCAACAAAAGTGAGGCTGTCTTAAGCCAGCAACTCAAGAAGGGAACAACATATGGAGGAGACAATTTCACTCCTGTAATTAGAGATAATTTACTGAGAATTTTACTAGCCCGAAGATCCCTGAACCTCCTCTTTTATATCTATTTGTCAGATGGGTGAAGCAATTGGCTTGTTATTTACATCAAACTTTGCAGAGTTAATTAGTCACCAAATGATTCCTTTTGTAAAGCTTTGGCATTACACATCACTACCACTGTTATTTTATATTACTCACATGAAGATGTATAAAACTCTCAGCATCTGTCACTGTCGGTAGCTGTTTTCACTTAAGGCAAATTCTATTCTGGCCCACTAAAGGACATCAAATTAAATAATGATAAAAGACTTCTTATGCTTTGTTCAGTATTGCCATGCTAGGGAGTATATAATTTAGTATGCAGCACTGGTTTAATACCATATTTTATTCCCCCCCCCCCCCAATTCTGGGCCAAGAATAAATGACAATTTTTTTCTGGATGAATGTCTTGGAAAACACATTAGTATTTGTGTGCATGTATATGTGTGTGTAAGAGACAGAGAGAGGCACATATACACAAAGAAAAATCATTGTTTAAATTGTTACATTTATGCTGCAGTTTAGAACTCATTCATAAGTTTGATTTGATAGTGAATATGCTATTCTTTCTTGGTGCAAAGTGAAAAAAATGTTTGGAAAATGTTTTTAGATTCCCTTTTTAGATTTAGCCTGGGAAAAGGTATAGCTATTTTTATTACCCTGTATTATAAAACTCAGTGTTTTCATTTGTGTTAACAGACATTCTTAAGGGTATCTTAATTTGAAAAAATATAATATTAAATAAACAATCATTACAATATTGAGAAAAGTGTTAGGTTAACATGACTGCTCATAAAGAGTATCTCCAAATACATTGACTCTGCTTGCCACCTAAATGTTCTTCAAGCGCATTAAAATTCTAGAAATGTATAATCATTCCCTGTGATTTCAATGACATAATTAAATTCCATGAAATTGTATTCACAGGCAACAAGCTAGTAAATTCCAGGAAATCAAATTTATCTTACATACTTGTATATCTCAATCAGTTTTCTGGGATTGATTTTCCTTAAACACAGTACAACAGTGAAGATGTGGGCTAGAACCAAAGGGATCAGGGTTCAAATGACTACAAAGTTAGAAAATTTACTAGATGAGTAGGATCAATCATTATTCTTCAGCCAAGATGACTTTGCAGGACTGTTGTAAAGATACAACAGACTAGGGGAATGAACCAAAAAAATCACATGTTACTGCAAGATTTTGGAGGAAAGTGTGTGCGCCACATACATGCATACACACACACATGGATATCCCTTCTCTGACTAAAACTTCAAATATCATGCAGCAATCATTTTTAACATTTTATGTAGAAATAATTCTTTAATAGAACTGTAAACCAATATTCCAAATAATAGTTGAGTACCTTTTCAAGATACGTGTAACTCCATGTTTTACCATCAGCAAATACTCTAGATACAATCCTTCCCTGTCCATCATAATCTACTTTTTCACTAGTTGTGCCTCGTTGGATGCTACCAATTTGACCTGTAGATGAATAGGTAACATTGACAGCCATAAGCTTGCTGCTTGGGAACCAGAGTGTTGGATGTCCTGAAGTATCATAGACGATTCTCAGTAGAAATTTTCGGTGATCATCATAAATCTTCTCTGTCTTTGAAGTCCGATCAAAGTCAACTGAAAGGAGGTTCCTACCATTAACCTTTTATGAAACAAATAAGACAACAAAATAAATAATGGGGGGGGGCATTGAGTTGCTGCTTATTATTTCTTTATAGAATCAGCCACTGTTTGAATACCATTGTTTAAAAATCATTTACAATGATTGATTTTCTTTGTCACTAAACTAATTTAGCAGCTTCTTAGTATAATAGCCAGAGATTAGGTTGCCATTTTAAAAGGTTTCATTAAATAAAGATGCAGTGACATTTTATTCAAAATGTTTTCAATTAATGCTGATAGAATTTAGTTAAATGTTAATATAATTCAACAATATATACATTGAGAACTTTTATAATACTCAACAAGATTTATAGAGGAAATTATGAAGATATAGCAGAATAATCACTATAATAATGAAAAGTCAAAATAAAAGGCCAACAAATACGTTGGTGAAATGTAAGAACTGCTTTTCAAATAGATCATCAAAATAGTCACTGGCAATTCTTTCACATAATAAAATTAGCTTATTTATAGGCAAAAAAAATGTGAATGTTCATTTACTTTCTAATTTTATACGTTATATTATATTACACACATTGTATAATCTGAAGAATTTTCGGAAAGAATTTATCTGGCTAATGAATTATCTGCATTGCTTGAAGCCAAAAAGAAATATTTGAACTTTGAGAAAAGTAATATTCTTAAAACAGATAACACATTATTCAGACTTTCATAAATAAAAACACATTTTGATATTTTGACCTAATAGTCAAGGACTGTAGAATTATCTAGCCAAATGCCACAATTTTTTTACAAAAACCTCACTTATTAAATATTGATAAATTCGACAGCAGAAGACATTTACAAATAAATATCATTAGGACCTGGAAGTTGGATTCTTTCTGAAATCCACTGAAGCAAGAAGCAATGAAAAGTAATGCTTTTCAATTGTACAAAAAATCTTATAATACACAATACAAAATGTAAGCATTTGTATTTTTTCTTACAAAAACAGACATAATAATGATGAGTTGCATTTTAATTATGTTGTATTCCATTCTTTTCATATTTTTACTGTCTGTTTTAAATTTTCCGTTCTATTTTTCATTTTAGTGTCAGGCTTTATTATGTCAAAATCCTATAAAGACATCTACTATACTTGGAAAATAGAACTCTATTGAAAAATGGATTAATGATTCAATATCATTAGTTCTGGAACTTATCAGGAAAAAGATGGTAAGATCTGTAAACTAAAATATTCATTTTGTTAAATAGTCTAGAGATATAAAGAATGATTTTTGTTGGGCAATAGAAACAAAAGTTCCAAAGTTTTCTGATCATATTCCATAGGTTTTTAAAAGGAAAGCATTTTAACAAGGATGGTGGATTTCTAGTCTTTAATTATCTGAATTCAGACAGAAAAATCTATTCCAAGTTGGGGTCCCGCTGTTCAAAATCTTTTTCAACAATCCTCTAGGCAACTGTAATTTGATTGAAGTATTCAAAAGCGATGGTCAATAAGAATTGTTTGCAACGTATTTCTTTTCATCATCCTGTTTTGATAAGAAATGTTTCTGAAAGCTTTCAGAGTACATGTGCATTGTATAAATGGATGCTTCTCTGAAAACTGAAGAAAAGCAGTAAGAAATAGTAAATCATAGGTATAAGGTAAGAAAAATGCAAAAGGTAAAAAGAAGTACATCTAAATCTAGTTTACACCAAATTATTCACTATAGCTCTTCATATACTTTTATTCTTGCAAATCAATCTTCTTTTTAGCACATTTGTGCACTACTTCTTTACACTCACAACTTGTCTCTTTTTTCAAGACCTCATCCATTCCATCCAACTACAATTTTCCCAGCCTTCTGGTTGCTCTTGATCCCTTTATTCTTCCTATAGATGTACTATATTTTCCCTCAAAAAAGAGGCTGAAAATCTGGGTGCGTCTTATACATTGAATACAGCATTTTTTGCTTCCTGAAACCCCGCTCCTCACCAAAATGGCCATTCATAGCTTGTAGGAGTCTTTCAGAGAGCTCTTGGAGGCTGGGGAGGGCAGAAATGAGCAAAAATTGGGCCCTTTTTTCCCTCAATTTTGCTCCCCCAGCCCCCAGAAGCACTCTATAAGCTTCCTAAAGGCTATCCATGCCCTTTTTTTGACAAAAAACAGGCCAGTTTTTGTGAAAAACGGGCCTTTTTTGCTCATTTTTGCTCCCTCCCCAGGAGCACTCTACAAGCCTGCTAAGGGCTATTCATGCCCTTTTAAAAAAAAGAAAGAACAGGCCCATTTTCACGAAAAATGGGCCATTTTGGGGAGGTTTGCAGAGTGCAAAAACTTTAAAAAAAAATTTGCTTCTTCAAAACCTTGGTGCATGTTATACTCTGAAAAATACGGTATTTTCTATAATTGGAGCCTCTTTCAATTTCCCCCTCTGATGAAACCATCTTAGCAACCTTCGCTTTGTACTAGTCACTGACGTCTGTATTCACATTTCTTAGACACTCATTAATTCTTTACCCTACCATCTTTTGTTTTACCATACATTAAGTTGAATACCCCATTCCTACTGCATTCAACTTATTTTTATGTTCCTAACATATCCAAATTTCAGTTTCCACAAATCAAAATAGTTAGAAGCCAGTTCTTATACACAATTAAATTTCATATTATATGCATTCATTACACATAAAAGAATACATACTATCTATTTTTTACTATTTCTATCAACGCTTCCATCACTTAAAATGTTACTATTCCATTCCCATTTCCAAGCCAATCAATGTTACTGTGATTCAAATCCTTGCTCCAACTATAAAGGTAGAAGAGACAATGTTTTTACCCTTTACTCACACAATGTCACATAAAAACAACATCCTATTTGCAACTATCTTGTGTTATGTGTATACATTAGCATTCTCTCAGCAGCACTATCTGCAGAGAGCTTTCTCTTAAAAGCAGCCCTTGACATACTCTTCATTAGAGTAACCCCACATTTTGTGGTACTATTGTCACTTCCACACAGTGAGTGTAATTCTCACTTAATGTCTAGCAACTTCCAAATCCTCTTTCCATATATTCACTTCTATTCATTCTTGATGAATTTATATTCTGCCAGCTTTTCAGATACAAATTATACATTTAGTTTCTGTAGTCATATACTTACTCTTATACATTTACTTCCTTTCTTCCATGCATATTTTTTCTTGATTTACTTTGGATGTTTTCAAATAATGGCTTGTCCCACCGTCATAACTTCTCATCTCACCTATATCCTTCACTAATGTCTCAGTTTGTAATAATAAATAATTATATCAGTTATGTTTTTTGAATCATTTACTTCCCCTCTGCATTCTGCTTCAATGACATGTTGAAAACCGACCTTTTTGTAAATGCATGTTCATCAGAATCTTTCATTCTTTGATGTCCAAATGGCAATAACATTTTTTCTATACTCTACTGCTTTTTTCCTACCATCTATTCATGCCACCACCATCTAACAGAATATTTTCCCCCTGGACTGCATTCATTCAATATGTTGCACAATTTTTCCAAACCTTCTCTCTTATTGTCATTCATTGGAAAATAATATGTAATTATCACCAACCTACGAATTTTACTTTCAGCAACAACTAACATGATGTAAATGCATACTTTCTGGTATTCGTTTAAGCTTTTTTTATTAATTAAATCCTCCCTACTTGTATTTATCAATACCATTCCATTCTTAATTTCACAGGCATATATAACATCACTCATGTTAATTCATGCCTTTCCCATTTATGCTTTCAGGTTCCAGTTTGCAATCTTCCACATGCCATGGCTGTGACTAGATGGACTAATGGATACTGACCTCTGTTGCCTATCATGGTGTTGGTAAATTGAGGCTTTTCCAGAGAAAACTGAGATTGAGACAGTGCTGATTAGATTACCAGTCTTACTAACATATTTCCATATGTAAGAGCTCCTGATAAAACTAGGGACACTACAGGTCAGTTTTTGAGTACTGAAGATTTCAGATAGTATGCTATAAACCCAGATAAAACCCAATTATTTCCCAAGCATGCTTTAGTCCTTTGGTATGAAAGCTAGTATCTGAAACCTGGACACTAATTCACAAACCAACATACTACAGGGAGAGCCTCCATTTTATACAGTGAAATGAAACACACCTAAGGTTATAAACTTCCCTTTTTTTTAAAGTAAGAAATTATACAGTTGATGATATTTAATGTTTAAGATTAACCTAAAGCACTGTTAATCGGTCTCGCCTAAAATGATTACTCTATGTATCTGCAGAAAAGATAGGATTGTATAGGAAGGATTTTATATTTAGTTGTAATGCTAATGGTAAAAACAGATGGTTATAAATCCGGAAAGACATAGAACAATATGAATTAAGATATTCCTTTCTGTGACATTGCTAACTTGAAATTATACTAGCAAGGATTATTCCTTTCCCTTTTTATCTTATTGGACTTAGAAGATTTGCTAAAAGAAAAAAAAGTTCATTTGAAGCAGTGAAAGCTGTCAGTAGCTCTTCTGTACTATTCATCTTAAACTAAAAGTGCATTAGAGATGTAACTTACTCTGAGCTTACGGCCAAACACATTCACTTTGCCTTGTGCTTGTTCTTTTCGAAATCTCCACTCCACTAAATTCTGTCCATTTTCTCCAGGAAGAGTCATATTTCTTTTTGCTACAGTTGGATTGGCTGTACCTGCTAAAACATGTGGTTCTGTTTGGTAGTGTGTATCCAGACCACTGGCATAGATGATTCTGAGAGACCCATCATATCCAATCTGGTAGCTATTTCTTAACTGATCTGAAATGAAACCCAACAAATATATTTTTCTAAATCAAGATTTTTCATGCAAAATTATTCATAACACAAACCAAGTCAACATTAATGCAACATTCAGTTGTATTAAAAATACAAGCATTTTAATTTTAAACCGATTAAAACATTAAACATTAAAATTTTAATTTTTTGCTTATAACCTTCCAACATTATCTGATTTCTTGATGCATATTCCAATGTATGACAAATATATGCCGTAAGAAGCATTATTTTTATATCTACATGCATCTTTAGAATCATTTTAGAAATAGAATGCATATAAAAGATTTTAATCAATGTAACTAATTTTTAAAAAAACTTTTACTTGCAAAATGAATCCACAACTAGTGAAAGTGTAATCATAAAAATTAGAGTCACAATCATAGAGTTAATGACTTTATTCAGTTGAATTGTCTTCTAAATAGGTATGTATATTATAGAAGATTAAGGCTTCAACCCTATTCCTATACAAAACACAACAACCTCCCTTGCAGGGTAGTTTTCATCACAACTTGTAATAAATATAACAGTGTTTTTTCTTTTAATTCATTTTTTTTCCTATTGAAGATTATTCTTCATTTAATTTGTTAACCTACCTTGGACCATTGTATAGAAAGAATCAATTGAGGATAAATTTGAAGTGATGCTGACATCATCCTCTCTGCTAGATGATTCAATGTCTACAGTAATAGCCCTTTCCATTTCTCCATGTAGATTAGTGACCACTCCAGTTGGAAATGTGACATTGGTCAATCTGCCTTCACTGTCATAGCTATAACAATTTATATAAACAAACAAACAAATAAATAAATGCAATAATGAATTGTTTTTACTCACTGACTCAAACTAGGAATTTCTGCTGATAACATTGTGAGGAATTTTGAGGTTTTATGCCTGAGAATTATGCACAATGAAAAAAATGAAGAATTTGTTAAATTTATTGAAAGCTTTTTCAATATACAAAGGAAGCTTGGTAGAGGGGAAAAAACCTCCAATGGCTCTCAAGTCTGCATAGATGTCTCTTTGGACTGTGACTAAATCCTACTGCAATCTAATTTGCTATTTAAAAGGAGTATATTTAGTAGGTATTAATTGTTTTATGTTCCATTGGGGACCTGTATACTGCATAAGTCAACAAGGGGGCCGTGAAAATATTTACAGACCCCTCGCATCCTAGACATAAATTGTAACAACCCCTACCCTCAAAACGACGCTATAGAGCACTGCACACCAAGACAACTAGACACAAGGACAGTTTTTTCCCAAACGCCATCACTCTGCTAAACAAATAATTCCCTCACCACTTTCAAACCATTCTCTAAGGCTGCTTTTCCTATCATTCCAATCACCCATCTCCTCCCACTTATGACTGCAGGACTGTAACTTTATTGCTTATATCCTCACAATTTATATTGATATCGATTATTTCCTGATTGCTTATTTTTATGTACACTGAAAGCATATCCACCAAAGACAAATCACACTTGGCCAAAAAAGAATTCAATTCAATTCTAATTCGCTTTTTATAATAAGGGTAGATTTAATTCAGTTTGATGCAAATGTTATGTCCAGTGGTTTTGATTTTTTTTCTTTTTAATTTAGCATGGGCCTTATCCGTTTATGAAGAGAGTGAACTTTGTTCACGTACATTCTTGACAGCATCACATTCTTAATGATACAACAATAAGTTGTGATAGGACCACTACTGCTGTAGGGCCATTGTGATGCATTCACAAAAAATTGAATGGAAAAATATAAAATTCTTAATATAAAAGGAACAAGTGGTACTTGTAACCAAATATTACAGTATTGAATAATCATGTTCATTGTTTGCTTAATCTCTTTTTCTTTCATGGTATGTATTACAAGGGTCTGTAACCATAAAGACTCAAACAGCCATTTGGACCAGTTTCCCACAGAAAAGAAAACACCGGGAGCCACAAAACCTGGGTGGGCGCGGTCAAGACAATGTCACCTCCACCCAGTCACATGACCCCAACCACGTCTATTCAGGTTTTATGGCTCCCAGTGTTTTCTGTGGGAAATGGGTCTCTCATTTCTCTCTCATTCTCTCTCCATCATTTTTTCATTTCTCTCTTTTTCTCCCTTCTCTCTCTTTCCCTCTCTCTCAATTAATGCTGCTGGTGGCACTGCTCAACTGGAAAAGTAAAAAAAGCTCAGGGCAATGGGAAACGGGGGCTGGCCTCACTGAACCTCGCATGCCCACCCCGGGCATCAGGCTCAGAGGAAGCTGGAGTGCCCTTGCCAAAGATGCTTGCCTGTTAGCCAGTCAACCTGCCCGCCCTCTTCTCAATTGAGGAGGGTATCCCCACTAGTGCATGCCCTCCCAGCCCCACAACAGCCAGATAGGTGGTTGCGTGAGGAGCGAGCGTGGCTTGTGATCTCTCCTTAGCTGCAGACCTGTTCCCCTGTCTATCATACCCTCCTCCCGGATCCCATTCCCATCCTACCAGCCCTCGTGTTGGTGTCGGCCATGCTGGGCCAGTGTCTCGGGGCAGAGAGCAGGTTGCCTGACCAGGTTGTCATAGAGTCACTGGAGAGGGGTCAAAGAGCCACATGTGGCTCGTGAGTCACAGATTGCTGACACCCAGTCTAGTACAATACTGCATGTGTTTATTTCTTGAGTGATTTGTGTACTCAATATTCTTACACCCAGATTAATATTAATAAATATCCTTTGTGGGAATAATTTGCATAAAGCAATAATATATATACAGTATCTTGAAATCCAGAAATAGAGCAAACGACATGATATGCTGGAACTGATCACCTTCTTTTGTATGTGATTTCATATATTTATTTTCAAGTATTTAATAATATTTGTTTTAAAGTCACAATAAATGTGATCATTTGCAAATTAGTGCAGGGCTTTCCTGTAGTAAAATGTCTGCTGCAAGATAATTTTTAGCAGATTGCATCTTTAAGGCTGTGTATTGGGAAAAACTCCTACTTTGATCTGCATTGCTTTTCAAGTAATTCTTTGTCCTACATAGAATATTTAAGTAAAGCTAGCCTTATATAAATATAGAGGTTAAAAAACAGAGTATAGGCAGGCTGATATTGGAGACATGTTTATTTTGAGAGTTTTATTATGAAGAAATAAAGACATGTCAGCAATGTGCCCTCTTGTTCTCATCATTGTCCCTACATTTTCAAATAGGAGGATGAGATAATTCACCTTATCTGCTACTGAAAAGCAGCATACAAAGCCTATGTACCTGACATACTGTACTCAGTCACACACTTATCTTAAGTGTTGCCTGCTACTGGATTGATAGCTAACCCACAAATGACTCTGTTAGTAGTTCCGCTGTGTTATTCCCTGCATAGATGCATTTTTCTTTCTTTGCAAACAATTTGTGACTACTAATTTAACTTAAATCCTGTAATGAACAATGGACCACACAAATAGACCTAATGGAAGCTCTTTAAAATGCTGGATATGCACAATTAAAAATAATTAAAAATTATCTTTCCTTTCATTTTATTATTAATTGTTCATTCTAAGAGACAAGCTGTAAATTTCACTAATTTCACAACTGGATCTGGATGGACCATTCTAAAAGGTTTCCAAATTTAATTTAGTAAAATTCACAATGAGATTAAAATGAATTATCTTGCATAGGCTATGTTTATTACTTATTTTATTTCTCTGTAAAATAAATGCAAACAGCAGATGCATATAAAAAAGCACTAACAGAACACAGCTAGAGAGAAAACAGCTTTAAAGGATTATACTGGTACCTGGCCATGTTTACTTAAATATAATAGAACTAGAGAATTCTAGAGAATTGCAATGTAACTCTGAAATATGTAGGCTAAAGAATTCACTGCAAGAAACAATCTATTAATGTTGAGATCAATCAGGATTAAGATTTATAGTGCTGGATATGAAATGGTTCTAACATGGCAAGCAACAGAGAAAAGACATGATCTACTTTTGTAAAAGCTACTTTTTTGACTGGATATCAACCCAGGGGTGGGTTGCTGCCGGTTTTACTACCAGTTCGCAATCTGCACGCAATATTCAATGTAAATTGTTGTTCGTGCATGCGCAGAACAATTTACAATGAACTGCGCACACGTAGTCACTAAAAATGAAAATGGCGGCAGCCCAGCGGCGGCGAGGGAACTGGTTCAGGGGCGTGGCAGGCCTGGGTTGCTGCTGGTTCTGCAACCCAGGGCTGAATTCCACTACCAGTTTGGCCAAACCAGGCCGAACTAGGAACAACCCACCTCTGCATCAACCCCATTAAATCCTACAAAATGTATCACTGTTATTGTGTTCTTTCTGAACTACACAGATTTTTGTACTAGGCGAAAGAGTGCAAAAGAATTCCTCATTAAAAGTCATATGATGTACAGTATATGTTTCTTAGTTGCTTTTATGCTAACCTGTGTTCTTCTGTCTAAGCAATTTCTCATTTCTTTATGTCTATATGTATTTTAAGCAGTCAGTTTCTTGATACTATTACTTTTCTATTCTAGCTGAAGACATTGCTAACACGCCTTGCTTGAAATCTTATTCTAAATTTACTCATTTTTTCTAAATTTTAATTCTCATCCAGGAATTCCTTTTTGAATTGATGGACAGTCTACTTATAGCTCTGAGCAAATCTTATAAATATGTCTACTACTAGGCAATAAAACAAGATTGAAATATATTTGTACATTGTTAATGAATGGTGACAGGTATTTAAAAGAGTAGATCTGAAATGCTTCATAACAGGACGAACAAAACTACAGGTAATCCTTGCTTTACAAGCTTTTAACAATGTTCAAATTTACAATGGTATCAAAAAGGTAATCTACATCCTGTCTTTCACATTATGACAATCGCACCACCCCCATTGTCACACAATCACAATAGGGGTGCTTGGCAACTGGCTCCCATTCATGATAGTTGCAATGTTTTGCAATCATATGATCATGATCTTTGACCTTCCAAGCCGGGCTCCCACAAGCAAAGTCAATTGGGGAAGCCACATATACTTAATGACCAAGCGATTCACTTAATAGCCATGTGATTTGTTTAATGACCATGGTAAAATGGTTGTAAAACTGGGTCTGGTTACAGGATGACTCACTTAATTTAACTACTTAGTGACCAAAATTCTGGGCCCATTTGTGGTCATAAATCAAGGACTACTTCAATTACAATTGTATATTTATTTGATGAAAAACATTCTCTTGCTTTTCAAGATATTCAATATGAATATGAAAATTCATATTCAGCTGAACTTAATTAATCTATCGGTAGAAAATTTTAGAGCATCCGTCTACATATTTGGCAGAAAATATATCAACTTTTCCATAGTTTCATAGTTATTTGGCTTTTATTTTTAGGACGCAAAATTCAACATGAGAGACTTTTGTACAATACTGTTTGTGCACTTGCTCCACAAATTTTGTACTGAAAATATATTCTTATGTATAAAAAAAAGTTGAACAATTTATACAATCTGAAAAAAACAGAGTATTACTTTTCGGCCTTTGGCTAAAATCAAGTGTGCAGTAATTACATATCAAGGAAAATATCCTGCTTCTTAGTTATTATGCAGAAATATGCATTTATTTTACATGGTTAGCAGGCAATTTAAAAAAATCTAGTAAAATATTCATTGGCTTATTAGGTGTACAAAATGTTTTCAGCCAACTTTTTTTTTTTTAAAGAGAAGAATACCAAACTTTTCCAGCCCTAAATTATCTGAGTAACCTATTTATTTTTAAAATTTTTATATTTACCCATAA